ATTGGGACTCCGGTAACCACACTCACACGGCGAAACACAACGCTTTGGTTATTTCAGGCAGGTTTTCTGTGTAGCCGTAGTATCACTCCGGTCGAGCCGACCCATTCGTGCCGAAGCATGGCTCTCCCACACTTAACATGGCTCTCCCACACTTATTCGTCGTATTTCACGAAAATATCAAATATTCCGTATGTATCTTCAATAAAAGAAAAAAGAAACAAAATAATTCACCAGTGAAACTAGCTCCATCTCTTCATTCAGACGCCACTCCGAGCTGATTTCATATTTCCGACAACAATTTCGGTATGATGGCGTCTAAAATAAACTCACATACAACTGTGACTTATGACATGTCCCGACTAGCAAATATAGCACATAAATACTAACTTCACGATCTAGATTTATCATGCGCTGAGAAGCGAATTATTCAACTCGTTGCCAATTTTTCAAATGTTTTGTTGTGTTTATTTTGAACTAGCTTTTAACCGTAGCTTCGCTTTGACGTGCTTCTCTTCTCATAAATTCTACTTTTATTTATATAGGTAATCCATTTGGTGGGATTTGTCGTTTGTTAGGCGACAGAAATTAGTGTTATCTTAATTGATTCCATGTACGTGTTTATGTTGTGTTTTTCTGTGTGAGTGAGGTTACCGGATTACCGATTGCTTACCATCAGGTAATTTATACCATACCGTCTTCTAGTCTCTTGTAATGGCCCCCTTTTTACCACTAAACCGGTTGGGATAACCTCTGTAATAGATTAGGTACTATTATATTACAATGACCTATTTTTTTTAAATAAATATAATCGGCATTTTTAATCAGGTTTCGCTAAATGATTTTTGAAAAACGGCTAGACAGATTTAATTTTGCAATAACAAAAGAAAAAACTTCTTGTTTTAAATTTGAATTCGGAATGTCAAATTTAAAAATGTTTGCGTTCGAATCAATGACATCAAGATTAGAAATTGTTTACTTTATGTCATGTCTAACTTGTTCATTATTTTAAAAGCAGCAAAAATTTTGAAAATTAATGTAAATTGTTTTTTTTATATTAGTAGGCTACAGCTGTTGTTAGTTAATAGATTAGCTAATTAAAATTAATGGTGTTAGTATAATTAATTGAGGATTAATAAAACAAGGTCTCAATATTTTAAAATATCGATTAATCTTAACTTACTTACTCTTAACTAAAATTTAAATAAAGCCAAACATATTTTTGCCGTCGATATAAGAACTAAGCAACGTGAAAACAAGATGACCTAGTAAGCTAAGTCACTTTCTAAAAACCTGATTCCAGTACAAAATAGTTTCCAGGTTAACAAAGGACAATCGGGCAAAGTAGTCGTATCCGACTACTGCATAGAATATGATGCCAGATCATAGCTTTTCTCTTATGCCGAGAAATGTCGCTATCTCGCTAGGTTACTTCAAGCCCTTCAGACTTAATTGAAGACCCGCATAGTGGGAGTGTGTTTCATGTGTTTTTCGTCTTTATTTCGTTTATGCATTACGAACTAAATGTCTTTATATTTTGGTTCATCTCCTTACTAATATACTGAAAAGAAAACATTCAACGTTTCATTCCTGTGTATTTGTACAAAAATAATAAGACCTTTTTTCCGGGTACTTTTTACCGCTAACCGTTTTCTTTCTTTATCTTCAAAAAGAATTCGGAATTCAACTTTGGAATGTTTTTGGCGGTAAAAATAAGTTCGGCGACGTTATCAGTGACGCGTAGTTTCCCTTTACCTTTGGTTTTTCTTTTGTTAAAATGAAGTTAAAGTGCTGTGAAAATATAATGACATTTTTATCTTCTGAATTTAAGAAGGTATTTTATTTTTGTATTCGGATTTTTTTCTGTGTGTGAAAGCTGCCGTAACACCTAAAATTTTATTTTTGTTTTTTTATCCTGTTTTTTGATAAATTCAAACTTATCATATTAGTGGTGTATGTTTTGTAGGTCCGTCTACAAACGAATAGAAATAAAAAATGCCCATTTGACAAATAAGTAGGTACCAATTTAAGCAGTCATCGATAAAAACTGTAATAGAGTTCTCGTATAATTTATATTTATATTCTAAATTCAAATTGAATATGAGCAATAAATTGAAATGAAATCTGAACATGTTATTAGGTTTAAAAAAATACAGTTATTTTAATAAAAATGGCAATGGCCCTATCACACTGACAGCCTTGTGATGTAAAAAATTTAAACTAGTTATACGAAAATAAAGAATGATCCGATATTTTTGTTTAATCTACAATTTTCTAATCTACCCTTCAATCAAATAGAATGCCTATCCGCCTACATTGTAAACGTTTTAAAATCAACATACGAACAGAGTATGGAACTGATATTAATTTAAAAAACAAATATAATATAAATAGATTTGATTCGCACATCGAAATTACAAGCTGTATCGAACTTTTTTTGAGGGCGGTAAGTAATCAAATTACTCTCTCGCTGTGAGAGGCAAACTGTCTTTGACTCTTACTGACTAAAAACTACTCCATACCTTCTCCTACTCTAGGCCGAGGAAGCAGTACCTTATTACGCTTGCCTCGACACTCTGGCTAAACAGCGACCCTGTTAGGCCCTATCTATCTACGCACCTAACGCTCGAGTCTGGTTCTGGTCCGGCGGCGAGCTAGCTACCCATGCTGTTATAGTCGCTTATACAGTGTCTGGAGATCATCGCTTCAGAGTGTCGCCTTCTGAGGCGGCTAGGTGCGTGAGGAGGATAGTTCCTTCTTTGTGAGCACCACTGCTTCGCAGAAAAAGGAGCCGGCCTCCTCGTTCCTCTCAACCCGGATGAAGTTTAAAGTCAAAACACTATCACCATTTATCGAGAATGGGAGGCAAAAGATTTCAAAATAGGAAGAATGATTATAACTTATCGCACTATATCTTGTACTCATTCTCTAATTTCTACAAATCAATCAGGGCAACGAAAATATTAATTCAAAGAAGCAATAAACAATATTTTTGTCGACATCCTTATAAATACAGAAATATACTTGATCACGAATATGTACTCGATTCTTGAGCTATTTATTGCGAGGCGAAAACCTGAGTTCCCCTTCTAAGTGAAATGTTCAACAATGAATTATGTTGTATGTTTGTACACTGTAAGCGTTAACAAGGAACCATGTGTTACCAATCTACTTATATGTATGTATATGTTATACAATGTCTTGTGTAGTATTAAATAACGTCGCTTTCTTATTCCCTATACATATATATACCCATGTATGCTTCAATCTTTATACTCGTACTTACGCAACGGATTTTGATGTTTTATTTAATAGATAGAGTTATAAGAAGAGGAAAGTTTGTATATGTATAATATTATCCGGTGTAGTGGACAAATTTAGCACCAGCATTGCAGCCCTGCTAAGTTTAAGCGGGTTGCTAGTATATAATATAATAAAATATATGTGTATAGTACGTGTAGCTATACAACCAGCTTAGAGTTTCGTCAGGTGCAATACAACTTTGAAAGTTCATATTGTGTAAAATTTCAGTCCAATTTAGTTGTCCGTGTTAGTTTTGTTGCAGTTTGATTTTGGGAGTTCGTGTTTTAGTTTTGGCAATCAGTACCTACGTTCCGTAACTAATTTGGTAGCAATATTTAAGTTAGGTTTTTCATAGTACCTCTACCGAACCGCTACCGAAAAATGGTCTCCGTATCATAATTTTCCTTTCTTCCTTTTATAAGATGTATTTTCACTAGAACTTTCTCTTCAACATAACAAACACTACAAAAAAGAATTGGCATAATTGATCCATACGGTGTTGAGTTGTAATATGCGCTTACCCAATGCATAAAATGATTAATATTATTCAGTTGCTAGATTGCTTATTCAAATTATGATAGATGATAAATAAGAAGTTCGTAACGGTTAAAAATATACACTACCGACATCTATCGATCAATAATAAAATTATAAATACATAAAGAGAGATAAAGACTTAATGTACTGCTTAGTAGGTACAAGTCCAAATAGATTTTAATAGGCTTTGTTTTGTTTCCACGAGCTACATTCGTAAACATTTTTTCTTTTACAATAAACGAAACATTTACATGAAGGTACTTATAATTAACATTTACAAATTATTGTTAAGTACACATAAATACTACTAACACATAAAGCTGAGAAGAAAGGACAGAGACAGACAAACAGATTGCAACAGAGAACTGGTAACTGAAGGAGTCGCAGAAACTGGGATTTTGATTTAATTATATGGTTGTAACGAACCGAAATTCATTTTGATTTGGCCTTTACTCAGTAAGAGATCTCATTAGATTTATTTCTCATGTCGGAGATGAGTTTAAAAACTTTTCACATGCACATCACATTGCAATCCGAAAGAACAATAGGGTAACAGGGGGTAGTACTATCAGATAAAAAAAAATATGTTTACTTTTAGAACTACTTATAATTTTTACCATAAACTTTATATTTTTATAAAATAAAACGACACAATGTACAACTTCACACAAACTTCTTAGATGTTTTTTCTTTTGGTTTTGGCAATTCAGGAAAAGTATTGAATTTAGGAAAATGAATGAAACTATTTTGATATTTATGAATAACATAAAGAATAATTGTTCTGTGCCAGGATGGAATCCGCAACACTACAGCTTGGCGACTGCTAAGACAATCCAGTCCAATCATTAATGACACTTAGTTATGGTCATTGGTATCATTCGACTGCACGGTTGGCGCAGTAGCTGGGCCACTGGCTGCTATGCAACGTGCCGCGGGTTCGAGTCCCACACGAAACAACACTTTGTCTAATACACCAATTGTTGTTTCGGGTCAAGGCCGCTTGTGTATGTGAATTTGTGTGTTTCTGTAAACGCACCCACAACACAAGAGAAAATCCTAGAAGGCGGCCACTTTTGTTTTTTTTTTAATATCCAAAGTCAATCCTACGATCAAATTTCCAGTCTGCGTACTCCTCAGTCACAAATTGCAAGCCCAGATCTTACCTCGCGTCGGAAGGCTTGTATGTGACGTCATATTTCTCCACGAGGTCTGCCGTGGTGGACCAGGAAACCCTCACCGTGGTGGGGTTCAGAAACGTCACGGTAATGTTCTCAGGCACTCCGGGGCCCATTGATCCTGGAATGATACATTACTTTATTAGGGAACAAGTAAATTTTCTATTTTAATACAATACTAGCTGTCTTAGAGCTGATTTTTCAATGGTTAGATAAAAGTTACCTGGGGAATAATTATGACGCTGTCGCGTCAGAATGTTTGTATAAGAGAGTGATAGCAACAATTTTATTCCTCAGAAAACATTTATCTGACTATTGAAAAATCAGCCCTTAGTGAACAATCCATGTTACCACGTAATTATTCTTGGTGTTTTCTGACCACTTAAAACTTCTTTGGACTTCCATCAAGACTAATATTTGCCAAATTGGTTAAGCCGCTTATAAGTTTTAGCGAGAGTGAAGAACAGCATTTTGACTTGAAATGAGGTTAGAGATTGTCCTAATCGAGCGATGGGCTTTATGGCTATTAATAAACACCACCCGTATAGACGGTACACAACGAATTATAATATTAAAAATACTCCTATATACACACACCAGACTAATTACGAGTTAATTGCTGAGATTTTAAACCAAGCTAGTTTGCTCCTAACGAAAATGCCATTTCGAGTTTGACTAACAAAAGATTTTTGATTTTTGGTCTTTGTTTGTTAAAGTTTCTTTATTATTACAAAGGAATTAACATACTCGTAACTAACAAGAATTGGGTTTTAGTAATGTACGTAAAAAATATTATATTAAAGGTTTTGCAAGATAAATCTACAAGTTATATTATTTTTCCTAATATTACCCTTTTTTATATTGTATTACCATGTTTTTTTGTTTTTATGTTTATATATTTGTTTTATTTTGTTTCTTATGTGCGTCTTAGCGAATAAATACTACTTTTGTTTGTTTTTTTTAAGTTTCAAGCTATGCTAGCTGCTATATTCGTGAGCAGTATCACACGACACGAGTGGGTGAACGTCATCAAAGGGTTACATAGGTGAGTAAACTGATAAACATAGGTAATGAATATAAATTTTTGCGTCATTAAATACAAAAAGAACCATAAGAGAACTAAGCTCCTATCAATTTTATTCCCTTCAACAGTTGATTGATCAGAATCACTTTATAAGTTTCCAACCACGCCGCCTTACTTGAAGTGAGTCAGGTACAGATCGAGTCTACATTTCCTGAGGAAGAGGTTCTGAAGCGAGTTTAATTAAGTGATAGTTACGGAGTTACCAACTTCTTGCTTTGTTTACCATAACTCGTTGCAGCGAGCTCTCAGAGGCTTCTCGTGGTCTTTTTTCAAGGGTTTTTTTTTGATGCGGTGTGTTACAATTATTATGATTTTTAAATATAATTTTAAAAAAATGTATGTAGTAAAACTAGAATATATACAGAATTTTTATAAATTTTGTTCTAACACTTAGTATTTTAAGTTTTTCTTTTTTTTCCTGTAACGATTACTTTTCGCTTCCTATATTAATGTTTTTGTTGTAGTTTTAAGTCCATTCTGCGCGAAAATAAATGGTATTCTTTCTTTCTTTCTTTCTAATATTCGTTTATATAAAAGTCAAATCATTTGTTTTAAAAATACCACTACAGGCACATTTACACGTCAAATAAAACAAAATGTATATATAAAAAGTTCTACTTTGTGTGACAGTCTGTTGGTGTGTCTTCTATAGAGGCTACTTGCTCGTTCCAAAGTGTAGATTCTTATAAAGAAAAACGAGCAAGTAAAATGAACTTTATTAAATGCAGCTTTTTGAAATGAATGCTCCTAGAAAATGCTTAACTGTGCGAATAAAAGAATTATTGGTTGTCGCGATATTATTAAGCTGCAGAATTTGTTTGTTTGGACATTCTGATGTACCGAACTGCTGGTACGATGAAGAATATTTTTATGTTGGATAGTTCTTTTCTCGAGACAAGTTATGCGGTAATGCCGTTACGCTACTGCTAGTAGCAGGCGAGCAACTACGTCTCAGCAATATACTAAATATCTATAAAAAAATAATGGTGAGTACAGACCGGCGTTCACAAGACGCAACAGCAACGAGAGCGCGAGTGCGACGGCAGCGGGTTGCGCGGGCGGCGCGCGCCGCATGTCGCGCCCACCCCACCGCTCATGCCATGCCGCTTCTGCAACAAAACAACATATATCATAAAATTATAAATACATTATAATATATTTAAAAGGGAGGCAGGAAAATGTAAGAGCGAGAAAGAGGCTGTAATTTCCAGGACTGTTTTGATATAAATTTTTTGAGGATCAGGTGGCAGATCCAAGCTTAGTCACGAATGGGTTGGCTCTTCGAAAGTGTTGTGACGGACTTACAGAAAACGGACGTGAATCAATCACAGTGTCATGTATTATATTAGTGAGGTCCTGAAGGCGGAATCCTTCCCCTTCGTCCCTAAGTCTCCGAAACCCTAACTCTAACCCCCGATAAGTCCGGCAACGCAGTCGTAACTCTTCTTGTATTGTGGGTGTTCATGGCACCGTTTGCTCACCTACGATATAAAAAAATAGCTTACTTTAAATAATCAGGTAGTGAAAACGTAAACAATATAATTACGGTTTAGAGCAATTCGTGCGTCAATATAAAATCGTGTATTATATTTTACTGTATGTTATTTTGCCACAGCCATTAAATTATTATCCGTATACGCAAAAAAAATATAATCTATTGTTAGCAATTCAAATAACAAGCCAAATCAAATTAATAAATTTAAACAATTAATACGGAAATTGAATGCTCTTATAATAACCACATATTATCAAATTATATGTTAAAATGGCATCAACTACGTAATTAATCTTACTTACAAAGCGGTGATTTAATTCTAATCACCTATTTAACTAGTTTGAACTGGTTTCAACTTGTTGCTGATTGGTTGAATGATAATTCTCAGCTTAAGGCGACTTTGCTCTAATTAATTCGGTCGCGCTGTCTATCCGTGCGTGTGAACCCAGCTTTACTTTATGTTGTTTGAACATTACCAACTGTTTTCATTCGTAATGTTCATTTACTTTTGTTTAAAATAACTAATATTGAACCTATTATGAAAATATGGATGTTACTCTACAGTGTGCCTGGATGTGGCTAAAGATATTAAAGAAGAAAATATGCTATTTTTTATGTATGTTACGTTTTGAAGAGTTACAAATTTAATTAAAACACAAAGTTGTATAAAAAGAAATTATTTTATTCATCCTTTTCTTTTCTTCCTACATGGAAGAATTCTTTCACTTCTGAAATTCAACAAATATTTAAATTACCACACAGATAAGCACATTTTTTCAATAATTTGAATAATGGCGTATTTTTTTGTTAATATCCGCCCAATACATTGATTTAAAATATTAGACACGAATATTACTTTTTATTAATTCAAATATCATGGTGATGTCACGATTTAAAGAATTTTATACTCAAAATTGACCACTATAAAATTTAAATTATGTTTTTTTTCACAATATACATATCTACGAGTATTATCTGTTATTGCCTAATTATTTTTTTATTACATTACCTCTGTAATAGATATAAAAAATCAAAATTCTAAATATGATTAAAATTTTAATAAATTTACAAATACTTTTTGGAGCACACAAAACAAAAATATAAATGCGTGCAACATGTCGAAAATAGAACAAATATTTTTACATAGATATTAGAGAGTATAAGGACTACAACCATTTCACCTATAATAGGTTGGTTTTATAGTTTCAAAGCATAAAACTTGAGCAGTAAAACTTGACCTCTAGTTTCGTCTGTTACCTACAAACTATAACTAGTAATTGGCACGGTTAAAATACTGAAGCAATGTTACGATTTAGTTCTTTTGTAACCCCTTAGCCTTAGACGGCTTATAAATAAAATGGGTCTATTAAAAGGAAGGTTGTAGGAAAAATTTGATTTAAAAAAAAACTTCTATAATTATTTATATAATTTATTATACACTACCAGGACAAAACACACGCTAAAAATCAATTTCTTCCAGAAATCTTTGGATGGAATACCCATAGAATATACTACCATAATCAAAGACATTTAATGATTACTTAAACTTTTCCAAAGCAATGATTTTGTTCCACGAACAATTACTTAAGACTAGATTAAGTAATAGGAATAATGACATGGCAGGAAAATTAAAAAGCTAACTACAAACTAACAAACTTACAAAACAATGATTAAGGAAATAGTTTTTAAACGGCTGGACCGTATGCGTAACATTGTTGGTTATTTGAATTTACCTTCTACCAGCAGCTTCTCGGAGGTTGCTATAATAAAAAGGCATATCTACGTTTTTCCACACTACAAATACTACAATTTAGGTCTGTACCAAATATTATTAAGATACTTTCACTAGGTTTTGCATGCCATGAGATCAAAGACACACACTCACATCTACATAAAAAAATAATAGAATTCTGAAAGAAGAAAACTTTTAGCTGATTATTGTAATCATCTTCATATAAGAGGTATCGCATTTTCTTACTGAATTGTCAACATTAAATGTTTTCAATTCACCATCTCTGCGGATACCTTTGAAGAAATAAACGACGTAAAATTATAACCTTCAGCCAACCAACGAATGGAATTGAATATATTTCTAGTTCAAAGGGTTCTGAGGTTTGCGACAACCGGTTTTCCGCCCTAGTAAATAATAGGGGACGCGTAAAGATTGCGCTTGGCTACATTAGATAATTGTAGTCCTCGATAATGGCTTATCTTTTAGATATAGATATAGCTACGAGTGGGCAAATAGACTTAAATAATGGCGAAGAGAATTAGCTTCAAACTTTGGAGCATATTTTATTTATCCAATTGTGTGTGACTGTGACTAATTAATATAATTCTAAACTCTTAAAATTACTTATATCCAAATTCCTAAGCTCCAAAAGGCCAGAAATAGAACTCGTGCGACTCATCTGATTTTGTGTTTATAGGCTGTTCCGATTGGTTCAACATCAGGTGATACGTACACTAGTTTGTCTGCCTATCCTTTAAAAAAAATCAATAAGAAAAATAACAAATCATAATCGTCAGGAAAAATATGTAGGAATAAATTCAATCTATAAATAACATCAACATTAACACACGTAGCATGCGTATTATGATCACGCCACAAACGATTAAAAATACATAACAACAATTTCCTTAACCCAGTTTCCAATACACCACTTACTAACAACAGGACACGACAAAATAATCAATCGAACGGTACAATCGTACATTATGACGTCACCGAGGAAGTTTACATAATTTCCTACCATCGATGTACAAGTTGAATTAAATAGAGTGCGTGCAAATGACGTCAGTTTCCAGTTATTGTGGTCTCTTTTATAGAAGTCTATAGTTGGACAGAAGGGTCAAAATATGTCAGATAATTTTAGCTTGGATTACGAGATGAATCGAATCAGTGGACGAAACACTTACATTGACAGTATCGACGATAGGAGTCTAGACAGCTAAAAGTGGTACCAAAAGTTTTCAATGCCACACGACAACCGATTTTTCATACGATCATAAAGAACGTTATGCTGTACTGTCACCACAGGTATTACGACTTTTGATTTATCACTGCATTTCTTTGTCAAATTGGTTGTAACACTACACCCTTGGGCAATTTATGGAAAAGAATAGTGTCTCTATGCTATCACCTGTGAGTAAGTACTGTCCACGGACGTGTTAAGTCTGCAAACATTCGATACACTATTGTTATCAAAATCATTGGTATAAATACCAACACATTACTCATTTGTTTTACGTGTCAGCTCACTATTTTGAACTATATTAAGGGATTACCTTTATCATTTACTTAAAGATACATAGCGCATTCAATTTTTTTATGTGATAGATCGGCAAAACGATCAGATAGATTACCTGGTGGTAAGCAATCGGCGCCGCCCATACGCACCCGCAACACCGGAGAAGTTACGAGAGCGTTGCCGGCTTTTTGGAGATTCGAGTTTCGGAAATTTAAGGGTTGGGGAGGGATTGACCGAAAAGGGGAGGATTGGGCCCAATCCTTGGACAGTGTTGATTTTTAAGTGTGAGTGACCTCACTTACACTTCAAATTGAATGTTTTCAAATTCTGGAACCTATTGTAATTACAGCAACTAAAGTCGTCCAGTTTCTTTATCTTTAAACATATGAACTGGAAAAACTGTAATCTAAATAAACTAAGAAAATAAAATCATTATGTATTCTTTGGTTAATTCCAAAAAGTTTAGTTCGAAAGGTGCCATTCGACTAAATAGCTTGGGGCATACCCTATTAAAATTCCATCATCGCAGACAGGTCATCGTGAAAATGGTTGTCGTGTCAGGGTGGTCGTTAGACCAAGATACTGTACGGACAATTAGAACAAAATGAAATAGAGACACAGGGAACTTGTAAACAACTTTCTATGGGTTAGTGACGAAAATTCCAAAGGTAAAGTAGTGACAAAATACATATCCATATGTCGGTAGTAACATAAATATTATCTTTGAAAGATGAGTACTTTATTTTAGTGGTCCAGATAAAATTTCCTAATTTTTTTTTAATGTATTGGTCGGCAAACGAGCAGACAGATTACCTTATGGTAAGCAGTCAGCGCCGCTCATGGACACCCGCAACGGAGGAGTTACGAGTACGTTGCTGACCTTTTAGGGATTAGGGATTTGGAGATTTAGGGATTGAGGAGGGATTGGGGATTGGGAAGGATTGGGCCTCCGGTAACCTCACTCACACGGCGAAACACAACGCTGTGGTTGTTTCAGGTCAGTCTTCTGTGAGGCCGTGGTATCACTCCGGTCGAGCCGACCCATTTGTGCCGAAGCATGGCTCTCCCACACTTACATGGCTCTCCCATATATGAAATTAATTAAGAGTTTATACTGAGAAAATTCTAAGGCGCAACCACTTTGTCTATTTCTTTTACGTTTCAGCACCAATGGGCTTGCTCAGAAAGATATTACAGAATACCAGCGTAAAACAACGTTCGTTTTGTGTCGTTGTGGGTAAGGTTACAGAGGGCCTTCTTATCTTTCTCCCCCATACTCAAATTTCTTACAACCTACAACAGGCCGGGAACTAACCTTTACAGTTGCAATTTTGGCGCTGATTCCTTACTGTTACATAATAAAAAAAAAACTGTTTACAGTATGCGGTAGCATTTGTGACGTTTATAATTTTTTACCTGATACATTATTTATTATTCAAACTAATATAATAAATGCGAAATTAACTCTATCTGTCTGTCTTTTCTTTCGATTTCTGTGATATTTGGTACAAACATAGTTTGAAACTCCAGACAGGAAGTACAATAGTTTTTATACCAAAAATCTGTAGGAAATCACTATTCCACGCGAATGAAATCGCGGGCGAAACCTAGTTAGGTACTAATTTGAATTGCACACTCATACATACATTGGTACACAAAAACACTAATAGAGAGATAACTAGAGGAGTAGTTACAGTACAAATTAAATGTAGGTCACGAACTAAATTCCTGCAGGATGATGAAAGTTATGGATCGATGAGAACTGACAGACTTACAAGTACACTTTCTATTTATATACCTTCATATTTACCACATTTATTGAGTTTTTCACTTTTTGTTCTATTTATCAATTGGACATTCTTGAATTTATTTTAGTATTTATATATGACTATTGGAGATTTCATTCCGTAGGTATTATCTTTCAAAATCGTAATACTTTTTTTAGTATGATGCACATAAAAAATTTTGGTAACTAAATACATACTTTAAGTTGTTTCCTTTCAGAAAATAGCCTATGTATTATGTATTCTTATTATGATAACAGTTTGCACTACGATTCAGTACCTACAAAATTATATTGTTATCGTAGAATAAAAAATATTTTTTGGAAAATTTTAGTATTTTGAATTTAATTTAAAGAACACCTTCTAAGAATGTACAGCAATACTATATTTGCAACACTTATTATTTATTAACATATATAATACTAGAACTCTTGTGACCAGTAGGTCAATAGGAGAGAAAATTATTTTTTTAATCAAGCCTAGCCTTGGCCGAGTACTCAAGTGTTCCAGTTTAGTAACGCTCACAATATTAATTTATGCGTTTCATCCGCCCAGTTAACCAACTCCCGAATTACAGGTAGTGGTTTAACGAAGCCTTTGAAAGGGATATTAGTCTTATCTTTTACATGAATATGTATTTCAGGAAGGGACTTTATTTAAGAAAGCTTTAATTGATGACTTTGCAAATATAAAGCAGAATATTAAAAAAGTTAGTATGGTAATTTGTTTTTTAAAAGCAAAGAAATTATGCTTCGAATTTTTGACAGTTAAGGTCAAAACAGTTCATCTTGCAAAGTTTTGTTTTCTGACTACCGTACTCAGCGATGAAGAAATCAGTTGTTAAATTGTTAGTTTCCTAAGTAAAGATATTGTTCCAAAAACAGTTGTTTATGACCTTGGATTCGGCAGTTCCGCACCAACCAGCGCTGGAACCAGTTCATGTCCCTTGAATATTTTCGAGTGTAGGAGTGCCATACCTTGATACGAATAGGCCGGCCGACACTACGGCCTAAGAGAAAACCAGCATTAAACAACTACAGCGTTGTGCATTCAAGGTACGAGTGAACAAATTTACCATTTCTCCTTAACTCAGAAAATTCCCAAAAATCCAGCAACTGCAAGTTGCCCCCCTCCAATGTTGATCAATCGGTTTTGGTATCAGGTAAACGATCTGTTCGTTCACATAAAAAAAATGATGCAAACTTTATAATTATGAAAGCCTTTAATTCGAATAAGATTTCAAAAGCTATTTATAGCATATAATTATATGTCATAACACGTGGAATTTGATATGATGCATCTAAACATTGATTACGTGATCACAGACGAGAGCGAGGAAGACAATTAATTGGACATTATCAATAACTATACAATGAGTGATTGAAACCACAGACCGTCTTTGATCAAATGCAGCGACCGAAACTAGACATTGATTGAATTGAATGTACATAATGACTGTATCAAATGAGGATTATGTAAATTGTGTATAGTTATATCTGAGAATTGAGTTGTAATTTCGTTCAAGGTGTAACTCTCATAAGTATAATTTGGATTACTATTTTATCCGGAACTTTCTTACAGCTTTACTAATTGAATCAGGGAGGTAGCAGAGTTAAAAATAATTATTTTCACAAAAAAAATATGTTGGTGTATCTAAAAGTAATAATACTGATATTAAACAAATATATAATTCTAAAGCGAAAGCGTCGTTATTTTTATTCAGTGTTCTCAATTTAATATTTTTGCTTTATATTATTTCCTATACTTATATAATATAATATAGTACACGCCTAAATAAATTTAATAACAATCCACGCGTAGCGAGTGTTATATTATCAGCTACGTTGTAGCACGCGTAGCAGTGACGTCAGCTACGCCGTAGTAATAATGCCGTCACTTAGGTTAGCGCGATCTGCAATAAAGATTTATTGCAAGTGTTGACTTCGATTGATGGCCTCTAATTTGTTACTTGTATTGTTGATCTAAAATTAGAACTAAGTATTAGCAATTCTTAGGTATCGTAGATCACATTTAATAAATAATAAAAAAGACGAACAATTCTACGATTCTTCGTGACTAGACGACTCGACTGGCCTATTTTTAGTGAAAGAATCCGCATTGCCACTCAGCGTAGCAATTCTGCCTTTTGGGCACGTTTCAGCTGTTGATGTTTTTTTCTGTAACATCTTGTGTGAGTATTGTGAATGAAGTGTTTTAAAGACATCGTGGAATGCTTAGAATAATAACGTTAATCCTACGCTTGAAATTTTTTATCGGGTATTCCGTTCTAGTGTGATTGAGCAAAAGAATAAAGAATAGAGAATAAAAATAAATATAATAGAAAGAATAAAGAATAAAAATAAATATGTATGTAAATTTTAAACTGCTTTTATTTAATATGAAGTTTTCTTTCTATTATCACATAAAAAACAACTGTTACACAACACGAAATAGTATACAATTTCTCCTTGAGTTATCTAATACCTCTTTTAACTTCACAGTTATTTCTCACCGACTTCGTTAGCTGTGCCATTTGTAAAATTAAAGCTATTAACCGTTAGCTGTATACTAACTATCTTAATTACAACAAACTAGTTAATGCTCGAATTTAACTTGGCTTTGGTTAAATTCGAGGCTTGGTATTATATAAATTTTTTATAGGTCAATCACCTTTACTTTTACTTTGTACTTCTATGAAATTGCATTCAAATATTCCTGTAAAAAAATTAGATAATTTTCATCATATTATTGTATTATATATTTATTAAACCATTTTGTAATCATATCGTGTTGTTAGAGTCAACCTTAGCGTACCACCTTAGTTCACGACGACTTTTATCGCGCGACAAATTATCGCAAAATTGCAATACATCACGCAAATTTGCATTTTGCAACTCGTATGCATAAAGGCTATTAGTAAACGCGCAATATTTTAGAGAGCGGTATTTATTCGCATTCCGAAGTAGACCTTACTTCATTTATTATCTTTGATCATCTTCACCGACTTAGACGTTTTCATTAGGACGTCAAATTAAATACACCACAAAGTACAAAATTAAGTTCCGATTAATATCCGTCTAAATATAAACCTATCATCAACTTTCTAACACTATAGCTATGTGACACCGTGTCACAAGCTGGAAAACAACTAATGACTGAACTTCGATTAGCAAACTTGTTGATAAGACGAAAGCAGTTGTGGGTTCGTGATTGATCGAACTTTGGTGATGAATTAAAGTAATGTGATACCCACGAAATTCATTTGATCGAATTCATTTATTGGGCGTAACTATTTCAATCTATCAACGTTAGGAATTGTGATGTCATTGTGTTGGGAGTTACTGTTTCTCTGTGTCAACAGGGTGTTTTATGGTGGTGTATACTAAAAGTCATTTAAAGGCAAAAAATGTATTTTTAAATAACGATTCTATCCCTTTAATAGGGTAGTGTATGTATACATTTTACATGATATCTTTTTTGACAATGTATAAAATTAAACAATAATTAAATTGAGGAATAAAAACGAAAACTAATGCCAGTAATAGATAGTTAAATAAACATTTGTTCTGACGAATTCCATTTTGCTGTCATTAAGACTTCACTACAGCCATAATGACTTATAATATTAAATTTTTGTACTTTTTTGTGTGAAATATATGCAAATAATACATTTATAATCATCCTATTATTATACATTTACAATAACTAGCTAAAAAGTCTAGTAAGTGGAGCTGAAGCCTGACATTCCCTTTCGCCAAGATGGCATTGTTTGCATTTCTAACCATACAATTAGATCCAGTAATTGATGTGATTCAGTAACATTCCAAAATGACAAAATATTTTTTGGTTAGACAGTTATTAAATGTATTGAGGAAGGTTAATAAACCACCAAATATTTCGCTACAATTGGCATAACATAAGCACGCACCGCACTGGGATTACTAGTAAAAAAATCCAACACAATTTGTCGCAACTAAGCGTGAAAGGCAGCACACATTGATATTCAATCCCCTAGGGAAATTAGTCAGACGCCACTTAGTACTTTTCCGTAAACACTCTTAAGTTTGTTTACCCATTAGAGATACAAGCATCCATCGTGATGTGATGGATGTCTTCAGTTACTTCGCCATATTCAGTAAACACGGATTAGAAATATTATCATATATTTTTTTAACGTATAAGACAGATCAAGTTACTTTCAATATAAAATCCTTACGATTCTTTAATTTTTATAAAAAACTGTTCGAAATCAATTGATTTT